CACCACTTACCCCACGGCCTCGAGATAAGAACGGTTAAGGAGAATCCCGATAATCTCGGGGCCCACGAAGCCCATGAACAGAAAAGTATAAAACCTAAAACCCTAGAGCTAAGACGCCAGATTACACTTTTGAATGCTCTGGCTTTGAGGCACGATCTAGGAAAAAACCCTAGTCCACCTTTTGGCCGGAACAAAAAGCATCTTCAAAAATAAAATTAATTTAAATGAGATCTATGTTGTATTTCTTTTTTTTTTTTTTTCATTTTCACTTTGAAAGTGGCTTATTTTGGTTGAACTTATGATATCTCTTAAAAGAAAATTAAAAACTAAACATTTCGATATATCGAAATTTATTCGGGAGACTAATTTTTTTAATTAGATGTGTGTTATTTTTTTCACACAAATTTGAAAATAGAATTTCTACACTTATTTAAAAGAAAGTTATAATTTTACTGATTATGTCACACATATTAGTGCTTTGAAAGCATCTTTATTTTAACATTTGGATAACATTAACTATTTAAAAAAAATTGCATAACTATGATTTATAATTTCTTTTCTCATTTAATCTAGACGCTCTAAAAGTAAAGGTATATCTCTAATTACAATTTTATATTTATGATAAGATTGAATATAACACTATGTATTATTAATACTTATTGATTTTATTAAAATTATATGTTGTAGTAATTTATTATTTAATTGTTGAGATACTTGTAGAATTTAAAAATTATCGTGAGTTTTAGTTGTTTAAGAATTGTTTTAAGCAGATATCAAATTTGACTTGTTAGGAGAAGGTATATAAGGTCTTTCTTAAAATGTAGATTTCATAAGTTTAGTTTCTTAAGAAAGTTAGAGATAAGTTAAAGAGAGAAGTTTTGGAACTTGAGAGAATCTATTCTTTCCTAAGTCTTCTTAGAGTATTGTGATCTTGCCTGAAGATCAATTGAAATAGTGGTGCTAAAATTCAAGGCTTGAAAGTAGGCATGGCAACGGGGCGGGGCGGGGGCGGGTTTTATGTTCCCCGCCCCCGCCC